GCGAGCAGATTTAGACCAGTTACGTTCTGCAGGTTAAACCGAATATTATTAAACAACGGAATCACATTTATTACATCGGGTATTGCATCAATTTTTTTAATAAAACATTATTAAATTATTCCTATCCTAGCAAACTATTTAATACGGCAGCGATTCTAATACCAGTAATAGCTAATAATTTTTCAATAATTCTAGTTCGTTTAATTCTCTCATAATATTCTCCTTCACTCAATTCCGTATCAGGTACATAATCATTCCAAACTACTTGACAATTTAATCTGTTTAACGGAACAGCCCAATATTCTGGACAAGAAACTGAAGTTTGTTTTTTCTTTAAAGAATATGTTTCTTTTTTTTGTCGTAAATTTACTCCAAAATGAGTTTGTTTATTATTCTTCTCAAATAACATTAAATCGGATTTAAATAATTCTTGAGTTTCTTTTTCAAAAATATATTCCATTTCTTCATTACAAACGGCCCATTCGGTTACTTCTTGTTTCCAAATTGTTTTCATTAAATTTACAATATGTTTAACATATGGTTCAAAAAATGGCCCATCATGAAAGTTATTTGCAATAAAATTTTCTTCATCAGAAAATGTAAAGTTATATCCAAGTTCTCGTATATGTTTCTATGAAAAAAAAAAAAAAAAGATTAACATATGCAATGCAATATATAATAATTAGATTATTTAATAACTCACATCAATTAATCTTGAATCCCATATGTAATGTAAAGATGTTTTATGACCTTCAAATATTGCTATTGTATTTCAATAATAGATAATGGATTCAGTTATTAAGAATTTTAATAATGTACAAATATTTAGAATAATTTATAATTTAATTATTTACCACTTGCTCCAGTTCCACCTCTACGCTTTCCTGTTACTATAATAATAATAATAATAATTACATTATTAAAATTGTATGTTCAAGTACACATATTTTCTTCCTTTCTCTTTATTTATACTCACAATGTAAAGGCTGGTGTAAATCTCCAAGAAAATGAACAAGAAATCTTAATGCTTCAGCTCTAGGCCAAAAATCCAAATTACTTTTTGGATCCAAACGATTAGTATAATTATGTATAGCATTTAATATATCAACCCTTCCTGGTCTATATTTAATAAGACAATTATCTGGGGGGTTATCACGTGGAGTAGAAACATAATGCATCCTAGAAGTGAATCTATATTTTGGTTGATATTTTACTCGATCAGCCCATGCCGCGATGCTAAAAAAAAAAAAAAAAAATTCATGAGAAGGTTGAAAGTAATTTCATTTATTTATTCATTTCAAGGTTAACTTACGGATATAGATTTCCGTTTGCACTTTTAGGAAGAAGTTCTCGTACATGTTCCCTCACTTTTGGTAAGAGGAACTTTTGAGCGATAGATGCAGTAATTTGGTGACCTACATATCCGTAAGATAAAACATTATTAATGAATAAAAATAAAATAATGAAGAAACAGAAAATGTTCATTATGAATTATGAATTAAATCAAATGGAATACAACATGAATATTAGTTTTTTATATTTAGAGTTTAAATTTAAAATTGTATTTGTATCACGAAGATTATCAAGAAAAGGGTTTAATCTAATTGGATAAATGGAATTTGACATAAATCCACGGCTTTATTATGATCTTGGATTTTAAATCTTTAATCTTTGTCCACAGATGCTGATCAAAATTTATTCAACTTTGGAAAAATCACTGATTCCTGCTGACGCCTTTTTGAAATAGCAATAAATCATTAAGTTTTTCAAATTTATTTATACTAAAATAGAGTTTTGCTAATCAAGGTCAAATCTAATCAATTTTCTTCATCGACATTGCATTTTTTTTTTAAAAAAAAAAAAATAAGATGAACAGGTTACAATTAAGTCATACATGTAATAAAAGTGATATTGTTATTAGGGAAAGCCTTTTCTTACAGATTCGCTTAATTCCTTTTCCCCTTGATCCAATTGATTGAAGTTCTGTGGGACCATCATTGATCGACCAAATCGTACTTCGATTTTTTTATCATGTATATTCATCTGATCACATCTTACTATAGAAAAAAGACAAGCATTCTATCCATAAAAAGTCAAATTCGAAGACCGAAAATATTTTTTTTTTTTTTATTAAAAAAAAAATAATATTGTCCTTTTTTAATTTTTTTATGAAATGAATAAACCGATATTTTTTTTTTATTCTTGCAAAATACGCAGATAATTATAATTCCGGTATTTCATTAATTTGTTTCCATTCTTAATTATACTTTTGTATGTGCTAAAAAAAATTATGGATTAAAAATCGTTTTTTTATTAAGATGCAGAAATCTTTAATTCAGATGTTGAAATGTATGATGAGGACGTAAATAGGGAAGGTATTTTAATGCAGTATGATGAAGAAAATTGATTCTGGAAGTTCAGTTAAAATACATAATATGACTCATTCCGATGAAAAATCATTCATTGGTAAGGTTATTAATTGTGAAAAAAAAATCCAATCGACATGTTAATTTGAAAAAGCATGTAATATATGATGAAAGATCTTTTAGTGATGATTTTTCAAAAAAGATCAAAACTCGTATAGTTGACACTCCATTTATTCGACAAATTATAATTTAAGTGAACAATCTTTTAGATATGATCAATTAGGATGTAATAAAAGTTCTGTTACTCTAATAAATTAATGAGGCATTTAGCAGTTCATACAGGAAAAAAACCCTACAAATATAAGTATCCGGGCTGTATTATCAGTCTAGTGATTTATCAAGACACGTTATGGACAACCATACACTTGTAATTATCTTGAATGTGAAAAATTTTAGCGGTTACAAGAGGAGACATACTGGTGATCAGCCATTTCAGTGTAATCAAATAGGATGTTAAGAAAGTTTTCTGATTCCAATGAACTTCGAATACATATTATGATGACCTTTTGTTTGTGCAATAAATAATTATGGAAAAAGTTTCAGTGACTTAATTGATACAGATTCTCCCAATATTATACCCAATTTACTATAAATAAATGTTCAAGCGTGATTTCGATTCACTATCGCATGATACTTTCCAAACTGGCATTCGCGAATTACGTAGGCAATAGATAAATTTTGCAAGCATATAATGCAGGTATTGTATATCATAATCGAAATATTACATGAAAAGATACAAATTAAAATAATAGTACAAAAGGATGTCGGAGTGGATTCCTATACAGGAAATTAATAAAATGTAATCTAATTAATTAGGTCAATAATCATGAATTATAAATAATATTGCATATAATGGAATCAAGCGAATGGATTGAAACAAGTAAAAGATGAAGTAGTCCGTACTACAAGGCTGATTGCAGCACGCCTCAGGGGTTTGCAAGGTTGACCAGCGGCGCATGTAGCAGTAGTAGTTATTATAGTTGTAGTTATAGTCGTAGTCGTAGTTGTAGGAATTTCTTGTTTGGTCTTAGTCTCAGCAATAACATTTTGAGTGATTATGTCGATAGAGTGCTTCAATATTCAATGTTAAAAAACAAAAATAACAATTTGAGACTTTTTCCATGTGTAAGATTTCCTTTAAATAAATTATTCGCTAATAGAAGCGTTCAAATATGTTAAATAACTAAAGGTGTTAAAGAATGTTTGCAGTTAGAGACAAATATAAATTATAAAGATCATTTATTCGTATACTTATCCGGATGCACTATTCTTGCCGCTATAAATTTTGGAGAGCAGAAACTTCAAATCGCAGATTTCATTTTTGTAAAAGGCGCAGTTAAGAAATTAACTAATTATTTAAATAATTTACTATTGCATTGTCGTATATGCATATACTGTAATACGTGCTATCCACTTTAGCAATTTTAAAAATTTTAAAAATGTTTAACTAGCCAGTATTTTCTGTTCCAATACAAATGCGAAGTGACACAACAATATAATATCGTTGTAAGTCAATGAATGCGTTAAAGAACGATTCAAAAAATTTTCTTTTGGATCTTTTTTTTTTTAATAAAAACTTGGTATCTAATCAAGAATATAATATTGGTTACGTATTTAATGTTCAGATCTTAAATTTTTAACGTTTAAATTGATTGTTAAGAAGAGATCAAAGTCACAACATTTGAATAAATCAATATCGAAGATCTTTTTATAATTTAAACTCCAAGTCTATTTTATATTATCCTAAACAGATATATTATTAAAATGAATCTAGGATAATTTACACAAGAAAATGAATAATTCTTTCCTTTCCTTTCCGTAGATTGCTGATGTCTAAGCTTTGTAAAATTATGCGCTTTTATAATCCGTTATTTTAAATTTTATTTCATTATATTGAAATTATTTAGAGCATTATAAATAGTTACCATAAAATTTGAGATATATCTCTTGCACTATTAGGGAAATCAATTATCCATATCTACTTTACAGCGGTCCGACAATAGTGCGCAAAATTAACAATAATGTATAGGATAGCCTCAATTAACAATGATTCTGTGCTTGAATTAACTACAACTTATTTTATAAAAGATTTTTAGCAATAATTTTATAACACTTAAAAGAATTAGATCAAATATTTAGCAACTCGATTTATCTTCAATTTCATAAAATCACACCTCAGGATAAAAAATGGGTGTGATTCGGACGACTGTATAGGGCTGAACTTGCAATTTTTTTTTTTTAAAAAAAAAAAAAATTTTATTCGAGATTTTAATTTTAAGTCATGTTAATTCAAATCTATTGAATTTAAGGTTTTCTGCCAGAAATCTTTGCATTTTACAATGATTTTTATAATAATTTAAATTAGGTTTGTTACTTAAATAAGTTTATATATTTTTTTTGTGTTTTATATAGGTAAACCTATTGTGAGATCTAATCAGAGGACTAAAAATTATGAAATATTGTACTTTTTGAAATATATATTTAAGAAACCATTTCTGTTCTACATTATCGAAGTGGTAAGAAAGTAATTTTTCAATATTCATAAAATAATAATCAAAAACATAATGGTATCATGGCCGTGTAGATCAGTGGATAGATCGTCTGCCTCCGGTTGTATTTGGGTAAGCAGAAGGTCGTAGGTTCAAACCCTACCACGGTCGTTTAGAAATAATAATTTATTTACGAGACTTAAAGTAAGTAGGCTGTAATATACATGTTGGTTTTTGCTTTTACAGGATTTTCCAAATGTTATTTAAAATTTATTAATTATAAATAATTTTATTTTTACATTTAACTAAATTAAGCCATAAACATCATTCCTGACCCTTCGTAAACATTTGCTATTTTCTGAATAGCATTTACAAATGCTGCGGTTCTGAAGTCTATATTCTGTTAAAAAATATTTCAATGTTAAAACAAATATTAATAGGAAAGCATTAAAATTAACCTTGAATATACCTTAGTTACAGCAGTACTTCGTGTTTCCTGACAAGCTGCTACCATTGTGTCTTCCAACCCAGAATAAACTAAATCTCGTTCCTCTGCTCCTTGTACAATACTTTTCCTTTCCGATTCAGTTAAATGTCTACCAACATTATTCTCAACTAGTTCTACTAATTTAGATTTTCCAAGTTCATCCCATTTTTTAGTCATGCGTCCGAATCTCATGTGCGATAAATTCTTTAACCATTCAAAATATGAAACCTATAGAAACAAAAGAATAATGATAAATTAAATAGCTCATTGGTATCAAAACGTATTTATTCAGTTACTTACAGTTACTCCACCAGCATTAAGTAGCAAATCGGGCAAAATCACTATCCCTTTCTCGATAAGAATATTATTTGCCGCTGGAGTTATAGGGCCATTCGCTGCTTCACCTACAATTTTTGCATTTATTTTCGTTGCATTCCCCAAGTTAATTTGCCTTTCCAAAGCTGCTGGTATAAGAATGTCGCAATCCAATTCAAGAATCTGAAAATTGTTACGTTAATTGACAACCCATGAAACTGTGTGAATATTAGAAGCATAAAAAAATTCTTTCATACTATACCTTTAAAGTATCATCAATAATATCTATATCAGAAGCGCCTTGAAAAGTTCCGGTCTTTACGAGATGATCGTATAAATCTTCAATATTGATGCCGTTAGGGTTATAGGCACCACAATCCCTTTCTCCAATACCAATAATCTTTGCACTAAATTTTAAAACCCATAAAAAATTAATAATTCCGGGAGATATAACTATTTAACAATGACAAATAATAATACAAACCCGTTCTTTTCAAAAAATTTTGCAGCCCAATAGCCAACTTTACCAAACCCTTGTATTACAATTCTTTTACCCTCAATTTTTTCGCTAAGTCCAGTTGCATTCTGTACTTCAGGATAAGAGAGGAATTCTCTTACACCATAATACACACCTAATCCAGTAGCCTCGTTCCTTCCCCTAACACCACCTAACGATATTGGTTTTCCAGTGACGCAACCAATAGAATTCACATCATTGGGATGAAATTGTCTAAACGTATCCATAATCCAAGCCATTTCACGAGCTCCAGTACCCATATCTGGCGCAGGAACATCAACGCCTGGTCCAATAAACGCCTTGCCAAAGAAGAAAAATTTTAATTTATGATGACAAATTAAGAAGAAAAAGAAATTATTACCTTTTGGCACAGTTCTACAGTATAACGACGCGTAATTCTTTCCAATTGTGCTAAAGTGAATCTTTTAGGATCAATACAAATTCCACCTTTTGCTCCTCCAAACTAATGATATTACACATTTATTAATATAAATAGATACTGGGCTAGAAAAGATTTAACAAACTCACAGGAACATCGACAATAGCACATTTATATGTCATAAGCGCAGCCAATGCTGCAACTTCTTGCTCTTCAACTCTGGGTGAAAATCTGATTGCAACTAAATTATTTAGTTAAATTATAATAGTCACGTGATATATTTACCGCTTACCGTATACCACCTTTTACTGGAAGCAAGTGGCGCGAATGATGAACCCGATAACCTGTTAATATTTCGACTTTATCATCTTCGACCTTGAAATGTAGGAGATTAAAAATTTATATTCTAAATATTATATAGTAATTTATATTTACCTCTATTGGGAACGTGACTTTAAGCGAACAATCTGGAGCATCCATATGAGATAGAGTCTTTTCAGATACTCCACTAATCTTTGCCGCCTTCACAGAATGTCAATTAATATAATTATATCAAGCAAAATTATTATGAACAACTCACTACCTCGTTAAAATAAATTTGAACAGAATCCAAAAAAGAAGGTTCATTGTCTCCAGAAGCAATAGCTAATTAACAAAAAATTTATTAAGTCCTTCCAAATTAAATTATATAATCAATTGTATTAACCATATTAACCTGTGCTAAATCTACGGCCATTGATTACTGGATAAAAGTAGGGCTGAGAATGCTTGAAAATTGTTTTAGCAACATGAAATGTTCTTCCAAAACAATAACAAAATTGTAAGCAAAATAGATAGTAACAATATTATATTTTAAAACACATGAAGTCATACTTTGATGCCATATTGTTATTGAGAAATGATGAGAGCATTTTCCTTTTTAATATGAATTCGAAAACATAAAACGAAAAATGAAACGAAGATGAAACGCGAATTCATTAACTTAGCACGGATGGGAAAATCTATAACAGAATGTATTACAAAGATCGTCATCAGCGGAAAATACTTAAAAAATTGGTTCTGTACTTTTAACTAAAAAAAGAAAGGATGTCAAATAAAATTATGTGATCTACAAACAAACAACATCATATTTAAACAACTTTCCACTTTAAAGTAGAACTCAGCTAACTCAACCTCATCGTTCTTTAAATTGGTAGGCTCGATATTTGCACATTCAAATACAACTTTTACCGTATTTTTCCTTCAAGACATTATATTTTGGCTAACAGCTTAACTTTGATAATTATTTTACGTTTCAGGGATTATAAACATAATGTCTTCAAAAAAAAACGTAGATTACAAACTTCAAAGAATTCTTGATCATAATCAACGTCTTCGTGAACAGTTGGATTTACCAAGAGTCAGAGTATCTCAAGCAAGTTCAATGTATGTTTAAGACTAATGTATTTATTCACGATTTCGAATTTTATTTTTTTAATTTCAATTCTTCCAAATTAATAAAGGCTCATTAAATATGTTCAAACTACCAAAGATTATCTTGTTCCTTCAGTATGGGGACCAGCTGGACCAGCTGATCCATTTGTAACTAAAGGTGGTATTAGTTGTGGTGGTTGTCTTATATCATAAAAACTTATTATTATTATATGTAGTATAGGATAATTTTAATATTATTATTGTATTATTACTTGTTATTTTAATTTATACAATTCTGATTATTCTGATTAATTAGTTAATTAATCTGATTGATCATGTTTTCATTTAAAATAAATTGTTTTTCAATGACATTTTTTTAGAATTGTATTTAGTTATTTTAGTATAATTATTAATAAATTAATTTTTTTTTCTGCAAATCAATAAATATTTTTTTTTTAATATTATAATTTTTATGTAATTTTTGTAGTATTTAATTTCTAATATTTGCATAAATTTTATATACAATTTACTAGTTTACATATTAAATAAATTATTAGTAATATTAAAACCAAAATTGATATTTGTAAATAATAATTAAAATTCAAAATACTAATAAATTATTTTTTTTAGATTATATTAAAAAAAATTTAAATTTACTTGCATTTTTATTTAAAATTTATTAAATTAAATTCTTATTATTAGAAATTTTATAATTACTAAATAAATTATAAAAAAATATATTATCGCTATTTTCAAAATAGTTGATACTATTATATTTGGAAGAAAAAAAAAGAAACCTAAAGGATGAAAACCAGATGAAAACTAGACAAAAAATGGACAAATACTAGATGAATATTGATATTTAATATTTAATCACAAATAAATAACATTAACCATTTTGAAAACAGTGATAATTTATATTAGATTTTATTTTTATTATATTTGCAATATATATTTATATAAAGTTAATATTTTTTAATATATTAAGAAAACTTATAAAATAAATATAATAATAAATCAAAAAAATTTCAGGTAATTAATTATAATTTACCAATCAAAATTAATATAAATAAATAATAAAATTAGTATAATCTGTATTTTATTTTTAATTTAAATTTAATCTATTATATATATTTATTATTTATTTTTATTTTCAAATATATATTAAATATGTATTATATAAATTATATTTGGATTTTAATTAATATAATTTTTTTTTTTTTATTTAAAAATTATGTGATATTTATCAATATGATTATATTTATTATATATTAATATATATAATAGTATTTATTATTTTAGTGGATGTTTGAACTGGTATTTTTACTAGAAGTATAGTATATAGAATGATAGAAGTGATATTTTATATTATCTTTTTATTTAATAAATACAAGTGCATTTTCAACACCAAAAAAAAAAATAGTATTTATTATTAAAAATTTAAATAATATTAATCAAAGGAAATGTTACATCTAAATCTTTTATACTATAATTGCTTCTGAATATAACAAATTTATATATATTGAACACTTAATATATTAAACTTAAGTTTATAAAATGGCTGATTTTTTATAATTATTTATACCAAATATAATAAATTTTTATAATAAATTTCTATATATTGCATCTGAATTTGATTTGATTAGCTTTAATATATTAGTCATATATTTATTATACTGAACAGTTATGTAATCATAAATTAGTTTAAGCTAAATATGAGGCTTGAAATTGAAACCTTCTAAAATCTTTTAGGTTTAAGTATATACTGAAACTTAGTTTCAGAATGTGCATCTATTTTCTAAATTCCAAATTTTGGATCCCTTCCAAAATCTCTAAAATCATATATAGTGATGGAACTTAAAAATTATTTTAAATCTTTTTTAATTAATAAATACTTATTAAGTACTTATTAAGTTAATTATTAAGACTAATTACACTACCCTACAATAAATATTCAGATTTTACAAATTTTACTTAGTAAAACATAGTAAAATTGATGATTTTTTGGTTGCATAAAAGTTTGCGGATTTTCAGTAAAATTCATCTGAAATTTTTTTAT